TGCTAAAAAACGAATCAACGATAAACTTATTGCAAAATCAAGTAATGAAGCTAAATCTATGTGGAACATCATAAATACCGGTCGTAAAAATAAAAACTCTTCTCAATCAGTAGCGTTTTCAGGTGAAGAAGCTAACGATTACTTCATAAACATGGCTAAAAATGTCCTAAAATATACCTACATGAGTAGTCCACTCAATAAGCCGAATATGAATATGACAACTAATTCAATTTCTGTACTTCCATTCAGATTCACTAAAGTCGGCCTTAAGGAGGTACGAGACCATCTAACTTTCTTAAAAAAATACGACCAGTACGGACATTTATGGTATTCGAGTTACTATTTTAAAAACAACAAGCAAGCATCTAATTACTGAGGGTTTGGTGATTCCCATGCATAAAGGGGGATAATTAAGGGAAATATCGAATTATAGACCCATATCGCTTCTACCAGTAATATCAAACATTTTTGAAAGATGTATGGCTTCTCAAATTTAAATTCACTTTAAAAAAATAATCTTTTCAGTAGCAGTCAGCATGGATTCCGCAAAAATCGCAATACTAAATTTAATAACCGAAATATTAACAACTTTCCACAAAAACGAATATATGTATGCAGTGTTTTGCGATTTAAGTAAAACATTCGTCTGCATGTCGCATAGTTTACTGATCGATAAATTAAAATTATACAATTTTGCACCGAGCAGCCTTGAGCTCATTGACTCGTATTTATCAAACCGCTATCAGTCTACCAGGGTGAACAATATGTTATCAACGCAAAGAAAATTTAACACTGGGGTACCCCAGGGATCAATATTAGGACCGTTATATACATCATATATACTATAAACGATCGACCAGCCCAAGATACTCTTTCCAAGTATACTCTTTATGCGGATGACACAGTCTCTCAAAGAAGTACAACACTTACCGAGGTATTAACTAGCATAGCAGAATCAAAAAACAAACTTACCGATTGGTTCTCTAAAAACAACTTGGTTCTAAATGAATCAAAAACAAACGATGTAATTTTTACCCTGAAAAATTCTGAAAATGTTCCAAATTGCACCAGGTCCAGTGTAAAATTTTATATTTATATTGACAAATCCCTTAAATGGGACAGACATATACAGGGTTAGTCACGAGAGAATTACTTCTGAAAATTATTTTTACGCAACCCAAAATACGAATACCATGTACCATTTGATACTAACTGAATTTAAAATAAAATGCTTAATCCATGATTGCTTTGAGTTTGGCAGTCTCATTTTGACAATTGTGGAAAAAGAGGTTACGCGAGTGTCCATGGTAGTACCGCAGCCAGTCGGAAATCTCCTCCGGCGCCGCTAATAAATTTGTCAGTGTGCCTCTTGAACTTTTGCAACCGATTAATCACGAGAAAATTATTTCTAAAAAATTCCTTTTACGGCATTTTATTCAAAGGTTACAACACAAACTCAAACAAGTAAGTAAATAATTTAACTACTAATCTGTTGAAAATGTTGGGCATTTTGGGGGGATGCTACGGCTTTTTTGTAAATGGATGGCCGAAGAAGTCCAGAGGTTGCAGATTTGCACTTCGAAGAGGCTCTAGGTGACGCAGAGATGGCGAATTAACACATGCACATTAGCGGTGAACAACATTGGTAGAGCACTTACGGCTTCATTATAGCCCAAATTGATCTGACTGTATGTCGTCGATCCAATGGGGCTCTAGAGACGAGTCAATGATGAAAAAAAATGTTAAAAATTAATTAACGTCAAAGTGACACTGTCAAAGTCAAAGCAATCATGGATTAGGCATTTTATTTTAAATTTAGATAATATCAAGCGGTACAGGGTATTAGTATTTTGGGTTGCGTAAAAATAATTTTCAGAAGTAATTCTCTCGTGACTAACCCTGTATATAGACTATTTGGCAGGTAATCTTGCAAAAAATATTTATTTACTGCGGAATTTGAGTGAGACTGAATTTGGCTTGACAATGGAGGTTGGTTACTTTGGGATCTGCCGCTCTCTAATTTCTTATGGCATCCTTTTGTGGGGATCACCGGCGGAATTTGGCAGAATATTTTCATTGTAACGAAAAGCGGTAATGTTATTACCAGGTCTTCGTTATTAAGATGACTGTAAAGAATCCTTCACTTCATTGGGCATCTTAACATGTCCTTTGTCTATATATTGAGTTGTCTACTTCACTTAAAAGAAAATTTAACTAAATACGACTCCAGTAACTGTTTTCACAGTTATAGCACACGAAATAAATCACAACTAATTACACCCTATCATCGTTTAAAAAAGTGTCAAATTGGACCTAATTATCGGTCTATTAAGTATTATAACTTATAATATACTACCAGCATCGGTGAAAAGCTTGCCAATGCCTAGACTCAGAAGCTTCATGAAATCTTTTTTAATTAAAAAGGCTTTCTACAATTACGAAGAATTTTTAACATGTAAAATTGTGATGTCTGATCAAGATCTTTGTTGTAAGAATTTTGTGTAAAGTAGTAAGTAACATAACACATTTTAATGACGTGTATGAGCAATTTAAGTGCAAAAATATTAAAATACATTATCATTATTATTATTATTAAAATGTGAACAGGATATTATTTGAAACCTGGTTTGAAAATCAGTTGCTGCCAAATTTGTAGCCTGATTCCATTATAGTTATGGTTATGGACAATGTTAGGTACCATTCTCGAATAGTAAATAAGAAACCTAGACAAGCCACGCGGAGGGACCATATTGATGCGTAAAAATAGTATAAACAAACCTAATGGAAAAGCTACGAAAAGAGAATTTTTAAAGGTAATAAATGACCTGGACTTACCTACCAGCTTACTACTGTGTGCTTAATTACACATAAATAATATGATGTTCTCTGCAAAAAACAATACTTCAGATTTAATCGAAGAGGAAGTCAATAAGATTGGCAGAGAACTTTGGCAAAGCTGCATTAAGTACGTGATAACGATCTTATTTATCTCCAGACGTAGCTAAGTTTATCATGAACCTCGAAAAATCCGATTAAAAGATCATTTAAGTGACTATGACAGTGAAGAGTGATAAATACGGGCCTTCTGGATCTACTACTTTTATTAAATTATTTATATTTTATAGTACCTATTAATTTTCGACAGTTTATTTTATAATGTATAATAATAATAATTAAACAAATTTACAATAAGAGAAAAAATCTGAACATGTGGAAATGATTTATGGGGTAAGAGACCCCTTCATAACAACCCAACTATTGGTGGTTACTGTATTGCTGCCATATGTACAACCTTAGAGACTGAGGACCACTATAAAATGGTTTATCTTTGTATACAGTGTAAAATAGAGTCCGCCAAATAGTGAACACTGATTTTCTGTTTATTAGAAGTTGATTGCTTGCCTGGTTCTGCAAATCAGATGTACATGAACACATTTTAGGTTACAATGGTCAACGACATTCGGACAAGAACTCAAAAGCACTTTTGGAAGCAGAAAGGTTCCCTATTTGGCGGACTTTACTTTAATACCAGTGTGTACCTAGAATTTCAACCAAATCGTGAGCCGATAATCAACAAATATTAGTTTATACGTTAATTAATTTTTCATGTATGTGTGCACAGAAGGTTTATTTTTACTAAGTAAGGAAGTATTGTAACATCATCATTTCGCCGAATTTCATGTTCGTTTAGTATTTCCCGCCACATAAAATATGATGAAGAAGGTTTCCTACTTTGCTTATCTGTGAAACGTTTTAATAAACTTTCACAGATTACCTGATTAATAACAGGTAATCTCAAAAACTTTGAACATATTATTTATTTAAAATTTTATCAACATCTGTTTATGCTGGTTATCCTGAAAGAATAGTAGTAATAATAATAAAACAAGTTGAACCAACCCATATTCGGAAATAATCTTTCTAGTAAATTTTCTACACAAAATATAATTCGATATTAACAACAATGACGCCTTGAAATTAATGTTAGCAATAATAAAAATTAGTTTGAAGTTATTTAGACAGGACTGCCATGATATTTTCAAATAAAGTATGAACCTAATAAAATTTAGGTTCCAAATATTTTATTTTTAAAATCAGATAAATGAACCGCCCTATGAATTCAAATGTAGAATTATTCTCGTCCCTGACGGAAAACCGTTTAAACAAATCCAGTTTCTTAGATAAATTATAAAATTTCACGTTAGAAACATTATTTTTTGTACCTTTTTTTTCAATGAACCTGTTAATTGCTATAATTCCTACAGAGCGACTTTGAAATGATTCCAAGTATTTTAATCATAAAAATATTGAAAAAATATTGAATCGTGTGTGGTAAAACAATCGTAATGTAATTCATTCGACTGGTTTGTAATTGCCTAACAAAAGTAGTCATTCGCGTATTTATTGACCGAACGTGAATGAAGTATTTTAACGAGTCGTTAGCCGAGTTAAAAAATCATTCCAAAGCTCTCAAGCCGTCTCAATTATTTCAACAATAAAACTGATTTGTAGACGTGATTTACTAATGTGTTATATGTACAGGGTCGATAAAAAGTATGGAAGCAGTTGAATAAATGACAAAAACTAGAGCTTGAGTATTTTTAAGTATACACCAAATTTCAAGAAGATCTAAATAGCCGTTCCCGAGATATTCAACTGCTTCCATATTTTTTAGCAACCCTGTATGTATTTTGCCAAGTAAATTTTGCGTTGTATTTTTTTTTCTTATATGTACACCTGTACATTATTTTATTTTGTACAAGTATTTTAGTGTTTTAATTTTTGTAACATTTTTAATTGCAAGATTGTTTAGAAATTTAAAAGGTACTTATTTGGTAACACTAACAAAATTATAGAATTTTTTTTATTGTCATTTCTCAACATTTTCCAGAGTTTGTCAAAATATGAATTTTGTTTTGGCAACTCTGGCCATAGAGGTCAATATCCCCCAATTAAAAATTGTAACATCGTTGCTTTTATTAAAAAAATACAAAACTTACCTGCCAATTTCGGCACATGCGGCACCATCGGCACACACCGCAGCTTTTCTAAACCGTCGCAAGACAGACCCAGATGGTGGCAGAGCTTTCACAGGATTCGCTGGTTTTAATTCTTCCTTTTCCTCATTTTTGCCAAGAAAACCGTAGTGGTAGGCAAATCCAATGCAGGCACATATGATCACTAAGATAATGATGAAAATGAGGCATCTTTTTTTCACCCTGGGACTGGAAAAAAACAGCATGTTAACACGACCAACGCATGTTTACTGAAACGTACATGATTTCATCGTCGCAGTTTCGTTCGTGGTTTAATAATTTGGTTCTACAAAGTTTATCGTTTTTCCGCCGGCATTTTCTCTGAACTAAAACCGACTTTCGCCCGATGATTGGAGGGTTTAACAAATGCTTAAAGTCAACCATTTCTTAACATTGCGAGTGCGAAATTATGGACGCGTGTTTTTCTTGCTACATCGTGACTGCGGCTTTCTACGCAAGGAGGGCGAAAACGATCGATGCAAAACTGTCAACTTGCGCTAGCACAGGGGCGCCAAATTTATTTCAAAATTCTAAACATAAAAAAATAATAAATACTAAAGTAGAATCACGAATACTATATCAAAAAGAAATGTTTGTTATTTTTTTAATTTAGTGATAAATTTTATTATTGTAAATTAAGTTGGCGGTGAATCAAGTGAAAATATACCCCATCTGGTGGGAACTTCGAAATGTAAAAAACAACCCTAAAACTTTTTTAAAGTGGGATAGTTAGGATAGAAAACAACGACATGACGTGAAAACGGACAGATGTCGTTAAAGGATGTCGGCATTTTGCTCACAAAACGAGTTTATTGCTCTCTTTCTCTTACCATCCCGGTGTAGATGAAGCTAAAGACTCATTTTTGCGACCGGTTCAGCTTGGGAAGTAGTAATTCTTGATTAATATGCTTACTGCATACTTAATTTTTTCTAAAGCTTCTGGTAATGGAAGAGTAATAAATTAAAAAATATGGTCTCGAAAAACGATGAATATGCAGTAAGGATATAATATTTAGAATTTATTGGTTTCTGTTCAAATTAGACAAGATCATTTAAAGATAAAACGCTATATATGAAAAAACAGCATACCAGGACAGCTCGGATGTTGCTACTGTAACCTATTTTATTAAAAAAATTACAGAATGTATACTACATTACTTTTGTATCACTGAGGTTGCTCCTTGTGCCCCTTATCCAAGTCTTTTCTTCCAATTATTGCAGCTTTTTTAAAAATCATGATCTTGGATTTGAGAGCAAACAAAATAAAGCTATTTACGGATATTGCAAATTTTGTTTGTTTTCTTGGTTAAAGAAAAAAACTAATTAACCTCACCAGTAAAATTTTCGCTAGTTATCAAAAAATCATAAACTAACAACTTTATTTAATAACAAAATTACACTTAATAATGAGTATGGAACCCATTCAGTGTTCTGATATTGTCATCTCCCTTCATAAAATATTTCTTGATAACCAACCCCACCAATTTTCAATTATGTTCAAGTCTGGAGAATTGCTAGGCATTTCCAAAACTTAAAGATTTTCTTCTCTAAACCATTGTTGTACCAGCCTTGCTGTGTGAATTGCAGCATGGTCTTGCTGGAAAACCCACTTCCCACCTTCCATGACATCTTTAAAACCGGGTTTTGCTGAGGCAAGAAAATCTCGGTACTTTCGGACATTTAGCGCCCCATATCATCACTTCTCCTTCTATATTGTGACGTCGCGACAAATATTTTTTTTCTTTCCTTAAGTCATGGAAATAATGTTGGAAACGTGGTGTTAGATTGGGTTTCTTTCTTATGCGACGTCGTTTTATATGTTGACAACATTTTAATATCCTTTGAATTGTCCTTACACTTGCTGGACTACAAACAGTATCCTATTTTTCTTGGTTAGAGTAGAATTTGACGCTTCACGCAAAGTGTTTCGCCTTTCTCTGAAAATAGTTGCTGTTTTTACTCCCCCGTGGTAATCTTTCCCAAAATTTTCAATATTATTGAAAAAATTATTGATAACACAAGGGCTGTGATTAATCTTTCTTGCAATTTCTCTGTTGAAGTAACTGCACTAAAAGCTTTGATTTTACCAATTTCTTCAGCACTCAACCTTTTACCGGCACCCAGTATTAATATTTTTGCATTAAAGTGACAGCTCTACTGGATTTTAAATAAAAAACTAAAAAGACAACGTTTTCATGTGCAACGTTTATTATTTTTTGATAAATAGCGAAAATTTTACTGGTGAGGTCAGTTGTCGTATTTTTTTTTTATAAAAAAATGTTTCTTTAATTTAGAAAACAAAAAAAATCCAAGATAATCATTTTTGTAAAAGCAACAATAATTCTACTAAAAGATAGAAAATTGGGGGTAGGTTATTTCAAACCATATTCTACAATTTTGTCACTGACTGACTTTAAACTTTTTAATTAAAAAAAAAACTTCCTTGTTAAAAATTTCAATACACCGTTTGTGTAAGTAACAAAGAAAGATGTTTGTGATAGAAATTTAAAAACACTAGTGCAATGAAAGTTATATTGTTAGAACCAGTAGTGTTTGGTTATATTACAGTTAAAAAAGTAAGATAAAAAACCAAAAAACGCTATTTTAAAATTATGAAAATTCAAGAAATAATTCAATTTACGATGAAATTTTAGTATATAAAAATCAAATCTAAACACGATTAGAAGCGGAATGACAAAAACTTTATGATAATTTGTGTAAGATTCAAGTATCAACTTCTTCAGAAATTGGTAGGTTTTTGGATAATCGACAACACCGACGCGAATTCACTCATATATATTTAAATGCATTGCTTACGAGTTTTGTGCGCTGCCAAGTCAAACCGGAGCGTACAACAGGTTTATACCGGATGATTTTTTTTATTTCTGGTCTACCCACCCAAGAATTTCACAGTTTTTTAAAAAAAAAAAGCAAAATCTTAATGAATTTAGTACGTAAATCACTTTGTTCAAAAATGTGCATTATTGTGATCAATGAATTTCACAACACAACCTAAATTGGGTTTTTTGTGGCTGAACTTAAAACGCTAGGTTATGTTATGTCAGCAAGATTTAAACCCTCGTTGAATTTATTTGTGATAAGTAACATATTCAATTGAATTTGCTGGAATTGAATTTCTGGAACTGTTGGTCTCGAAATTAGATACATAAATTCATTCGGCATTTCATATTTTCAAATATTCGAGTAAGAATTTTCGGCGGAACACTTTCACACTCTTGTATGATTCTCACTTTAGATGAATCATTTGATTGAAATAGTTACAATCAATCATTATCTTCTTCAAATTGAAAATGACCAGTCTAGTTGCTGCCTTCTTAAAGATGTTTGGAGGTGATCATCCATAACGCTAACTTTGCCGAAGAGGATATACAGATTTCAAATTTTTCAAGAGGATGTAATGTTATAGTCTCAATTTTCACCACTAATTCACTTATAAGATTTTTATTTTGGCTAACTGGAAGCTTATCAGCTAGTTCTAGAATTTTTAGAATATCCTTTGTAAGAGCTAACTTCAAATAAAAAGTTTATGCTGGCGTTTAACATGTTTGGAAATTTCATTTTACCCTATAAATTGCAATAACGAGACGGACAGTAGTACAATAGCAAGAGATATTTACAACTTAAAGTTGTCGCGTGCCGGTATTACCCAGATGTTAGAAAGCAGAATAATTCAGATTCGGCAAGGGACCATCGTTACTCACGAACGAAAATGACCATTATTTTATGCCCTTATACTACTGTCGGTCTCGTTATTGTCAATAAAATTTTAAAGGGTATAATGAAATTTCTGAAACCATAATAGATAAGTAGTCTTGCTTCCCTTTAGAAGAAGAACGACAGCTTTGGTTTTATAGTAAATAGGTATATAGTGGGGGTTTTGGGTTACTTTAGTCGGAAAAATTTGAATTTGTATGCAGGGAAACTCAAATTTTCACCGTACTACTCCAGCATGTGCAAAATCAAGTGGGCCAGAACCCGAGTCAGCGTACAAATACAAATTATCTAACCAAAAGTACGCTAGAATCCCCACTATATGACTACTTGCGCGGTTAAGCTTATATTATTATTTTTGGAAATCTGCAAGTACCGTGTCATTGTGAATGAAGTGGGTGGAACTTATTCAATTATGTAACTGGTTTATCTCGCAAGTAAATAGAAACCATTTGTAATCAGCAAGGATGAATACTTTAATAGAGTAAATTTTCCTTGAAGAGGAAAAATCATCATAGATGATCTTGATGTTCATCTTAAGAGGTAGTAACTACATTGGTACAAGGTTTGTGCACACAAAAAAATTAGAACGTCTAGCTAGATATAGCGTAGCTACTTCCCGAAGTGTTTTTTTTTTGGTTGTTTCATTATAATACACTTTAATAGAGAAATGAAGAGAATTTAAAGAAAAATCTTTTCAAATAAAAACATAACAAAGCAAAACTAATGTATCTTTCTCTCCTTTAAAAGCAAGAAATTATAGGGTGCGTCATTGCGTGTCTTAACATAGCTGCTTTCTATTCTTTGGGAGAATAGCTGAGTTGTTAACCCTTTCCCTAACATATCATACACATGTTTGACCGGTAATATATTCGGAGTTCTAATAACTGGTCATGGTAAGATGGTCAGTGAATACCCTTCAAAAAATCTTTTACTGAAACTGCAGCGGCATGTGATTTTCGAAAAAGACCGTTGGGTTCCAATAAAAGACAATAAAACAGGTTTCAAACTGAACTCAGAATAATGCCGAGCCGTCAAATTGTGAAAAGCGAGATCAAGACGATACTATTATCCATTCACGATCTTTATATAGTAAAGTCGGCTTTGATATTTTTTCTTAAAGTTGGATAAACTGATTTGATGATTTAGTTTTTTGTCTGTCAGTAGTCGGATTGACATTTGCTTTGAGCTGGATTGCCACTTTTCTACTTCATTTATTAGATCAGAATTATTAGACGCAATTTTTTAATCAAGCAAACAAATGTTTTTATTTTGTCAGCATAGATAATTGTCATTGTGACAGATTCACAGATCATTGCGACATTATTTACAAAGAAAATGCCTAAAATAGTTTTACTGCAACAAAAAATTGCAATAAAAAGATGTTTTTTGCAGTTTCGAAAAGACAGGCCCGATCTTTCTTTCGAAGAAGTAACTATGAGGGTCATATTTTCTGTAATGTAAACATACGCTGTAAAATATTTTTTAATTTTTTTTCTCATAGGTGGGAACATCAACTGTGGCGAAAATTTTATCAACAGGGGAACAAAATTTAAAAACATCACTACAAGCGAAAACCAACGGATTTATTTACAAATTATATGCTTCGGAAAGACCTGCAACCACAAATTTGGCAACTTAATGAAAAAAATGAATATTTCATGTAGATACTCTTTGACATATTCTAGGGAACAGTTGGAATTTAAAGGGGGC